AAAAAAAAAACAGCTCCATGGTTGGGCCACGGCCGAGATGTCTCGGCCACACCCCAGACTGGCCACGGCCGAGATGTCTCGGCCACACCCCAGACTGGCCACGCCCGAGATGTCTCGACCACACCCCAGATTGGCCAGGGCCGAGATGTCTCGGCCACAGCTGAGATTCGCAGGCACTACCCTTCCCAGGCAAGCGTGAAGTCTCAAGAGTACCCTACTCCCAAGAAGTGGGGGGCTCGGGGCAGGGATGGAGGCCAAAAAAGAAAAAAGAAAAAGAAGAAATAAAAAAGTAAAGAAATGAGGAACTTCGAATCCACCTACGTCGGGAAGGCCCTCGGGTCACCAGTGCTTTGAGGAATGTATCTGGCCAGGAAGTGAGGAACATGAAACAGGTCGTTTTCCTTTTTTGTTTCTCGTTGTCAGGTCCTTGTAGCGCCCTGCCTGGCTGGCAGGGCGGATTCCACGCGAGGCAGCTAACTGCCTCGCTTCAGCAAGTACTGTAGCATCCTGTATCGGACCGCAATCACAGCATAAGGGATGTTTTTTTTTTTTTTTTTTGTATCTGCTGCTGGTGGATCAAAGAGGGCCCTGACTGAACTGCATACGGCCGAGTTTCAACTGCAATTGAAACTCAGGCCGAGATTCAACTGCAATTGAAACTCGGGCCGAGATTCAACTGCAATTGAAACTCGGGCCCTGACTAAACTGCTAAAACGCAGTTTCGAATGCAACAAACTGTTTTCGTGACTGCGCCGAAGTTACCCCTTCCCTTTTTTTTTTTTTTTTTTTTGCTGTTTTTAACTTTGACAGTCAATCCTCCGGGAGGTGGGAGTTGTCAATGCTGGTTAGGGTTCCTTCGCCCAAATGAAAGGAAGCGTTGACTGTTTTTATGAGGTAACACTTTGTTCAGAAAAAATGAAAAAGGTAGGTTTAGGGAAGCAGCAGGTTGGGACACTCTGTAGGGGCTTTCAGTTCCTCTATTGTAGTTCAGCCTGTGCAACCTAGGGGTAGCTGTGTCATCGCTGAAGTGCAACCTAAGGATAGGTTGGTAGGTTTCTTCTGGTATTACTGTTTGTCTTTTCTTAATTCAGTTTTGTCTTTTTCCAAGAATAGCATGTAGTTAGACAGCAGAAAGGGACACTGAACCCGGTTTCTAGCACAAGCCAAATCTGGGTAATGACCCCAGGCTTCCGGGTTGAGATGTGGAGGGATTCCCGGCCTCCCTTTTGTTCAATATATCGTCACAAACAGAACTGCCCGGTAAACCGTAGGCAGAGAGAGAGAAGAGGACAACAAACGAGGGGCTGTGACAAACTGTTTCGTCGGAGTTTCACCGACTCATC